CTCAATTTAACCAGGAGACTCGAAATTTCGGTTTTCCTCCACATACTTGGATCGTAAATCATCCTAATCACGATAGGTTACAGTACCTGAAATTTGGGGACGTTAGGTTAGGTTACGTTGGTTAGTTCGGTTCGTTGGTTAGGTTTAGGTTTAGGTTGTTAGGGCTCCAATTTAACCAAGGAAGACTCAAATTTCGTTTTCTCCATAATTGATCGGTAATCACTCTTATCCACGTAGGATAAGTACCTGCAATTTTGGGGAGGTTAGGTTAGGTTGTTGGTTAGGTTTGGTAGGTTGGTTAGTTAGGTTTAGGCTAAATTTAACCCAGGAGACCCTCCAAATCTTCGTTTCTCACATAACTGATCTAAATCATCTAATCAACGATGTGTACTGCATTTGGGAGGTTGGTTAGGTTAGTTGGGTTAAGGTTAGGTTAGGTTAGGTTAGGTTAGGTTAGGCTCAAATTTAACCAGGAGACTCCAATTTCGTTTCCTCACATAAACTTGATCGTAAATCACTCTAATTCCACGATAGGTTACAGTACCTGCAATTTGGGCGAGGTTAGGTTAGGTTCGTTGTTTTAGGTTCAGTTCGGTTAGGTTAGGTTAGGTTAGGTTAGTTGGACCAATTACAGGAGACTCATATTTCGTTTCTTCTCAAAATAAATTGAATTGTAATCAGTCTAATCCACGATAGGTTCAGTACTCAATTTGGGGAGGCTTAGGTTAGGTTACGTTGGTTAGGTTAGGTTTAGGTTTAAGGTTAAGGTTAGTTAGGCTCTAAATTTACCAGGAGATCCGAAATTTGATTTTCTCACATAAACTGATCGTAATCACTTAATTCACGATAGGTTACAGACCTGCAATTTGGGGAGGTGTAGGTTAGGTTCGTTGTTAAATTTTTCGGTTGATTCGGTTAGGTTAGGTTGGTTAGGCAAATTTAACCAGGAGACTCCAAATTTCGTTTTCTTCAATAAACTTGATCGTAATACTGCTAACCAAGATAAATTACGTATGCAATTTGGGGAGGTAGCGTTAGGTTTACGTTGGTTAGGTTAGGGTTTGGTTAGGTTTAGGTTGGCTCAAATTTAACCAAGGAGACTCCAATTTGTTTCTCACATAAACTTGATGTTTATATCTAATCCACGATAGGTTAAGTATGCTTTGGGGAGGTTAAGGTTAGGTTACGTTGGTTAGGTTAGTTAGGTTAGTTGGTAGGCTCATTTAACAGGAGCTCCAAATTTCGTTTTCTCTCCATAAACTTGATGTAATCACTAATCCAATGATAGGTAACAGTACTGCATTTGGGGGTTTTGGTTAGTTCGTTGGTTAGGTTAGGTTAGGTTAGGTTGGTTAGGTTTAGCTAAATTTAACAGGAGACTCAAATTTGTTTTCTCAATAAAACTTGATGTAAATCAATCTAATCCGATAGGTTAAGTATGCAATTTGGGGAGGTTAGGTTAGGTTACGTTGGTTAGGTTAGGTTAGGTAGGTTAGGTTAGGTTGGCTCAATTAACCAGGAGATCCAATTTCGTTTCTCACATAAACTTGAATCGTAATCACTCTAATTCCGATAAGGTTTACAGTACCTGCATTTGGGGAGGTTAGGTAGGTTACGGTTGGTAGGTTATGGTTAGATTAGGTTAGGTTAGGTTAGGCTCAAATTTAAAGGAGATCCAAATTTTCGTTTTCTCTCACATAACTTATCGTAAATATCTAATCCACGCTAGTTACAGTACGTGCATTTGGGGAGGTTAGGTTAGGATTGCGTTGGTTAGGTTCGTTTCGGTTAGGTTAGGTTAGGTTAGGTTTGGTTGTCAAATTAACAGGAGACTCCAATTTCGTTTTTCTCATCATAAACTTCGATTCGTAATCACTCTAATCCGATAGGTTCAGTCCTGCATTTTGGGGAGGTTAGGTTAGTTGGTTTAGGTTAGGTTAGGTTAGGTTTAGGTAGTTAGGTCCCAATTTGAACAGGAGACTCCAAAATTCGTTTTTCACATAAACTTGATCGTAAAATCATTAATCCAGCGATAGTGTACCTGCAATTTGGGGGAGGTTAGGTTAGGTTACGTTGGTTAGGTTCGGTTCGGTAGGTTAGGATTTAGGTTAGGTTAGGTTAGAGCTAAATTTAACAACCAGAGATCCAAAATTTCGTTTTCTACATAAACTTGACTCGTAAATACTCTAATCCACGATAGGTTACAGTACCTGCAATTTGGCGGGGATGGCTAGGTTAGGTACGTTGGTTAGGTTAGGTTAGGTTAGTTAGTTAGGTTAGGCTCAAATTTAACCAGGGAGACTCAAATTTCGTTTTCTCACATATAACTTATCGTAATTCATCTAATCACGATAGCTTACAGTACTGCAATATTGGGGAGGTTAGGTTGGTTACTGTTGGTTAGGTTTACGGTTAAGTTAGGTTAGGTTAGGTTAGGCCTAAATTTACCAGGCGATCCATTTCGTTTTCTCACATAAATTGATCGAATCAATCTAATCCACGAATCGTTTAACGTCTGCAATTTGGGAGGTTAGGTTAAGGTTACGGTTGGTTAGGTTAGTTAGGTTAGGTTGGTATTAGGTTAGGTTAGCTTCAAATTTAACCAGGAGACTCCATTTCGTTTTCTCACAAAACTTGAATCGTAAATCATCTATTCCCATGGTTACAGTACTGCAAATTGGGGAGGTTAGCTTAGGTTACTTGTTAGGTTATGTTTAGGTTAAGGTTTAGGTTAGGTTAGGCTCAGAATTTAAACCAGGATATCCAAATTTTGTATTCCTCACATAAACTTGATCGTAATCACTCTAATCCACGATAGGTTAAGTATGCAATTTGGGGAGGTTAGGGTTTGGTACGTTGGTTAGGTTAGGTTAGGTTAGGTTAGGTTGGTTGGTCAAATTAAACCAGGAGATCAATTTCGTTTTCTCACATGAACTTGATCGTAAATACTGTAATCTAGACGAAAGATATAAAGTTACGTTCGCGTCTGGTTTTGCATGCAATGACGGGTGTTGGATCTGAGTGTAATGTTGTGTGATTACGAGGTGTAGGTTAGTTGTTGGTAAGCTTGGTAACCGAGTTTGAGGCTGGAATGCAGACATAACTTAAGTTATGTTCTCACACTACACACGTTGAGGTTCATCGTGAATATTAACAGATAGAGTTTACAGGTATTCGCTGGTGTTTTAAGTGGTTAGGGTTGTAGGAGGTGGGTTAGGTAACTGAGGAATTGATTTTGTGCGAAAAGATGATTCATGGTTAGTTATGGACATTGACTCTATATACGGGAGGGATCCACAAAATAGTGTGTGTCTCAATAAGCAATATCGTAATCATCTAATCCACGATAGGTTAACAGGGTTGGTTACAGGTGGCATGATTAGATCGGATAAGCGGAAGTGGTTTTCGTGTTGGTTTAGGTTCGGTGTATAAGATTTTATGGGGTCGTAGTGTGGGGATCCAATACAGGACTGTGATTTAGAATGTTAAGTCGGCACACAGTGATTACTTGCATGGAGTAGTCTCAAATTATCGTTTTCTCACATAACTGATTCGTAAATCACTCTAATCCACGTAGGTTACAAGTACTGCAATTTGGGAGGTTAGGTTAGGATACTTGGTTAGGTTTGGTTAAGGTTAAGGTTAGGTTAGGTTAGTAATTTACCCGGGGGAGGAGACTCAATTTCGTTTCTCACATAATTTGATAGTAAATCATCTAATCCCGATAAGGTACAGTACCTGCAATTTCGGGAGGTTAGGTTAGGGTACGTTGGTTAGGTTAGGTTAGGTTAGGTTAGTATTAGGTTTAGGTCAATTTAAAACCAGGAGCTCAAAATTCGTTTCTCACATAAACTTGATCGTAAATATCTAATCCACGATAGGTTACAGTACTGCAATTGGGGAGTTAGGTTAGGTTCGTTGGTTGGTTCGGTTCGGTTAGGTTAGGTTTAGGTTAGGTTAGGTTAGCTTCAATTTAATCAGGAGCTCCAAATTTCGTTTTCTGCACATAAACTTGATGTAAATACTCTAACCAAGATAGGTATCAGTACTCAATTTGGGGAGGTTAGGTTGGTTACGTTGGTTAGGTTTAGGTTAGGCTTGGTTGGTTAGGTTAGGTCTCAAATTTAACTCAGGGAGACTCCAATTTTCGTTTTCTCACATAAACTTGATCGTAAATCACTCTAATCCACGATAGGTTACAGTACCTGCAAATTTGGGGAGGTTAGGTTAGGTTACGTTGGTTAGGTTAGGATTAGTTAGGTTAGGCTCAAATTTACAGGGACTCAAATTTCGTTTTCCTTCTCAACATAAACTTGATTTAAATCAACTCTATCCACGATAGTTTACAGTACATGCAATTGGGGATTTAGGTTAGTTACTTGGTTAGGTTAGGTTAGGTTAGGTTAGGTTAGGGTTAGGCCTCAAATTCTAACAGGAACTCATCAAATTTCGTTTTTCTCACATAATGGTCGTAAACACTCTATCCACGATAGGTTACAGTACCTGCAATTTGGGGAGGTTAGGTTAGGTTACGTTGGTTAGGTTAGGTGGTTTCGG